TATATACCAAGGAATATATATAAATAGGAACGGTTTGAACATGTTTGTACATGTTTAAACATTTATAACCGTTTTCATCTTCATCCTCTGGGCATTAATAATGGGCCGGTCTTGGCAGCCACATGGTGTCCTGGTGGTTTGGACGCCTGCCGGCCCAACGCCCCCAAGGCGGCAGGCCTCTATGGCGTGCCCACCGAGGGTCCGACGGCGGCGGATCATCTGAACGTCTTCGGCGCGGCGGCCACCACCGCGCCCACCGCGGCGTCCTCGGAACACACAAAGATCCCCAAAGACCTCCTGCGCGTGCAGTTTATAACTTAATATAACTTGACTGTTTAATCTGTTTAACTCATAGTTTGTGTGGAATTTGTGTGGTTGCAGGAGTTTGTTATGCTTCCCAGGGGTCGTGTTGCATTGTGGGGATAGTTTTTGTGGGGAACTTATCAGGCTAGCCTGAAGCTGTTCAAGATGACGTACTGACTTTGTGATGTTTTTGCCGAGGCAGTCCCAGACGGCAGCCCGAGTCGTGTGTGGAACTCACACGTGGATGGTCCTGCACTTTTTGCACTGCTACTGTATTAGCGTGCAGGGCGTTGAAACAAGATTCCGTCCAGAATCGATTGTTTGATACGTCGATTTGGCATAATCATATGTTCTGTTCAAATTCTGTACTTTGTTACCTCTGCCTCAAATTACTTATGCACAGGTGTTTCTTTTTTGCATTGATGAACAGATCTCCCCAAAACTGCGTGGTGATACCTGCCCATCCGCCTGAACCGAATGAGAATCCAACCAAAAATAGACTAATCTCCCACTGAGCGATGTTGACCACACCTCGCTACGTACTGAGGGATGCTGTAGCTTCTTTATGCTGCTCAAACACGAGGAAGGTGGGACGTAATGGAATAGGACTGAACAGGGGTTGAAGAAATGCTTCCTGCTACAAGCGGTTGGTTTCTAAGCCCCACCACTTTTCATCGTTTTTCATTTTCCAAGCAGCCAGGTGGTGAGCAGGTTCAACTTGATTCAATAGGGCATGTCATGTTGCATAAGGCTGGAAGCCTGGCCTACTGGGTCGTACTGTGTCTGGTCGCCGAGGCCAGCTTTGTGCCCACTGAAGGGCCCACAGCGGCCGACCATTTCAACATTTACGGCGGCGTCGGTGGCAGAGAGGTGGGGTATGGTGGGGTCGACTGGAGTCGGGGAAGGTGGTGGGAATGTGTTTTTGGCTACTAAGAGCAAGGACGCTACTAGGAGCAAAGGGCATCGCTACTAGGAGCAAGGACGCTACTAGGGGCTCCTGGCCTTACTACTAGGAGCAAGGACACCACTAATTTACTAGCTATTTGCTACTAGTTGTACTCTTTGGATCTATTTAGTTATACGATGTTAAAGGGATCAAGGATGAATGCACCTCCCATATATCAAAACAAGAGGAACCTGTGCATTGCAAGTTTGCAATGGCTTGAAAACCATGCAGTTACGCTCGTTCTATAGCACTGCTTGTTTGAGGTTTCTTGTGGGGTGGTTTGGGGGCGGAGGGGTGGGGCAGGGTTTAAGCTTTTTGATGTTTTCTCTCCTTGCAGTCTGCAGTGGCTTTCAGTTTTTGTTGGCTCAAGTCAGTGTTATGCGTCGCTATTGTTTTTCTCTGCTTTTGTTTCCCTCGCTAATTTTACATTTTTTTGGTTGTCACGCCGTGATCGATTCTTTCGTTTTTCTTTTCCCTTGTTGAACCATTCAGTCGTTGACTGTTGATATCTAGAATCTGGACTCCTTTGATAGTCGGTGTGTCAACTTGCGTGAAAGATCCTATAGCTTCTTGGGTCCTTCACATTTGTTTGGATCATGTTCCTGCGTTCGGCAGTTCGGCATTTAAACACCATGGAATTGCCCACATTCAAAGCACTTTCCATTCACAAAAGGAACCAAATTAGTTACAGCGGGGGATGTTTGTGTTCATTGCCACTCACCAGATTTGTTTGCTCTGAGATGTTTTGGCACACCCAAGGCACCGGATGCAGGCAGACAATTTGTTTATATGCTTACCACTGCCCGACTGTTTTTCAGCAACTAATTCGGCAACAACACATCGTCATTGCAAGTAAATAGAGAAGCGTCCAAATAAACACCCTGAAACCAGAAGAAACAGAAGCGTGCCCCGCGGCAATTCCCAGCGTGCCCCTTCCATGTGTCGTTTGGTTTCTCCTTTGGATGCCGCGGCCTCGCTGTTCGGACTGGGAACCACACCCGGATAATCACACCATTAGGCGCTTGGGGTATTTGCATGCCTGGCAGGTGCCCAGCCCCGCTGCGCATGTAGCATGTCTGAAGAAGGCATCCAAAGGAGTCTAGGGAGGGGCTTGGTGGATGTGCATGTGCGCAGGGTAGTTTGATGAAGTCATTGTAAGGTCTTTTTGATTGTATTTGATTAGCTATTTTACTATATTTATGTGTATTTTGACAG